AGATAGCCCTCGTGTAGCTTTGCGCGAAATTAAAACAAACAAACAAACAAACTTACTGGAGGGAGGGGCTTATTGCATTAGAACGATAAACAAGGGAAAATCAAAAGCACTTTTACAAATAACATTCTTATTTCTAATTCCAAAGGATTGCCCTACTATAACTTTAATACAAATTATCAAAATTAATGTATTTTTCTAAATTTTAATTTCACTGTAAATTCCACTATTTACCTTGTATGTCAGGAATATCACGTATTTAAAGTTGCTACCAATTTCAACTGTTTATGTGTTCTGGTGGATTTGTTGGGTTTTTTTATTACGAGAAAAGTGACTTTCTGAAATATTACTGATGCCATTCTCCATATGTAGGTATTCTGGCGTAGTCATGTCTGGTTTGCGTGGTTAGATATTTTTATGTTTCACTGCCAGTTGGTATCCCTCTTCTTTCGGTTCAGTCAAATAGAAAACTTTGTTTAACTCTGCACTACTTGTTCCGCCAGGGCTCTATATCGGTTATTATTCTTAATTGAAGATTATCAGTGTTAAGTCAAGTAGAAATCTCAGTTTAACTCTGCACTACTTGTTCAGCCAGGGCTCTATATCGGTTATTATTCTTAACTGAAGATTATCAGTATACCTGATAATACAACATAACAAGTAAGTTTCTACAACATATATGAGAAATAGTTTTGTTACATTTATTTTACAGCTCGTACAAAATATTAAATCTTGTAACCCGTTCTTAACGAAGAAGCTGGAAATGTCTTTGTGGTTGTAGTTTGTTCATGGTCATTCAAGTGAAATATTATAAACTTCCAACAGTTTAACAGTTTCTAGGTTCAGGTAAGTAACGAAATTGTATTAAAAGTTGTGTTTTTGTTTTATTGTGTATCTAAAAATAAAGCTGGCACGAGGAAAGAGTGGCAAGTGATAGAGTCAAAAGACCGTGTATTTTCTGTTTTTACCACTTTACACACAAGAAATTCGACAAAGATAAATCCGTGAAATAAAATTTTATTTCCAAATGTATTTTCCCTTTACAAAATTCTAGACTTGTTCATGTTACGAGGAAATAATAACAAGAAAAGAAGAAAAAACTTACCAATGTTAACATACAATATTGAAATGCAAAATAGAAAGGAACTGTTTCAATGAGATTTAGTATTTTGTAGCAAGCAAGTTGAAACGCTGAGATTTTAACCGAACATTTCTTTAATCTAAAACCAACTTACAAAAATAATTAGTTTCACGTATCTTGAGTTAAACAAGAGATTTGTGTTCCCTATTTGTGATCATTTGAGAAAGGTAATGTTTTTATACTGTCATAAATGTTCAAAATATTTAGATTGGGCAAAACGTAAACAGAAAACAAAGTTTATTTTTACATGATCTCTGCGGCGTCCCTAGAATGCATTCAAGTTACAATAATAATAATAACCCTTTGAAAAAGATAGTCTCGCAGTGACAACGATTTCGCTACTCATAACGGAGACTAAATAATCACCAAGAAAAAAATAATATCCAACTGCCACTTCCGTTTATTTATTGTTTTATATTATTATTTTTATTATCTTTATATATTTGTATTTAAATTTTCATAATTGGTCAAATATTTCAAAAAATATTTCATCGCTGTTTTGGGAACAAAATAGACAATAATTCTGCCTTCTCTTACACTTCTAAAGTAAAAAAGAAATTAAAAACAAAAGTCGCCACTGCCTTCATTTATTCTTCATCTGGCTTCTTGCATACCGGTGAAGGGCAACATGAAGGGTAATGTCCTTCTCCGGCCACTAGCTTGCAGTTTTCTTTGTCAAACCCAATTGAACCACACCTGAGAACGGAGGGGAAAATACAATGTAATTTTTTTAATATTTATTAACACATCATTACAATTTTTTTAAGTATAAAATATCTTCACTCTCTTGAAATGTGTTTTGCATCATTTATTTTCATTTTTTAGAGCAAAGCCACGTTAGACTATCTTCTGTGTCATCACATAGTTTTTGTAGAATTTATATTTCAAAGATGCATTTTGGTTTGAATTTCACGCAAAGCTACACGAGGGCTACCTGCGCTAGCCGTTCCTAATTTAGAAGTCAAAGACTAGAGGGAAGGCAGCTAGTCATCACCACCCACCGCCAACTCTTGGGCTACTCTTTTACCAACGAATAGTGGGATTGACCGTCACTTTATAACGCTTCCACGGCTGAAAGGGCGAGCATGTTTGCTGGGACAGGGATTCGAACCCGCAGATTGCGAGTCAAACGCCCTAACCAGCTGGCCATGCCAGGCCTAAGATGCATTTTTCAAATATAAAGAGAAAAATCGACGAAAATATTCTAGCAAACAAGGATTTCTGGTTTCGTACCATAAATTAACAGAATCTACGAAGCTATCAGGGTAACATAATATATAATTTACGTTCACAGTTTTAAAATTAGTGCTTGTAATTTATACACATATGGTAATTTTGAACTATGATAAAATGATGCAATAAAACAATTATTTTTTTTCGGTGTCCTTGTATTTAAAACAGATAACTCTTTTTATATGTAAACGCTAAAACACACACACATACGTCGGGAAAATAGTATAATATCAATACCTAGCACCAATCAAAAATACGTAACGTTTTACAAGTAAAGATTACATCGAAATGGACCACACGCAAAACAACATGTTCCTTGGATAAAAGAAAACTGGTCCATCACTGAACGTTATCTTATTACTCTTGACATTCACTACTGAACATAATAGCTAGAACAAGTAAGTGACCTATACAAGTAGACAATATTATTCTTTTAAGGTTATTTATTCGAAGTTAAGCACAAAGCTACACAATAGGCTAGCTGTGCTCTGGCCACCACGGATATCGAAACCCGGTTTCTAGCGTTGTAAGTCCACAGACATATCGCTGTGCCACTGGGGGCATTTAAAGGTTTATTATACATTGGAAATGTACGCGTTTATCAACGCTCTAAGGTTGGTGGGGCTGCAGCCCCGTCAGCTACTGAGCTGACTCGGTTTTTTCTATTTAGAACATGATACGTTTAAACGAGTGTTTAAAAAGTTCAGATACCCTTCTCCATGTACAAGAGCTTCCACTCCGTCTGCGTTACAGCTCAGACTCTCACATCTCTCGTCGTTATACACCACACCTTTATTTTCAATCTGTCCAAAATCAAGGTGGTAGCAGCCACCTGTTGAAAACAAAATGCTGATAAATAAACTTTTAATAGATACACATTGGTTGTATCAACAAAACCAACAAATATCGAACAAAAGTTGTGATTGAACATGAGTGTTAAATAAACCAGTAAAATAATATGAAACAGTAATGACATAGAAAATTATATTAGACCTTCTCAGTGCATTTGATTTATACAACAAATTTGAATCGTTTTTTGTTTGTTTTTTTTTTTAGTTTTTTCTTTGGCGACAAAATTTGCGTTTTAGATGTACGTAGGTATAAACTGTGTCTTTTCAGCGTAGTAAGATGTATTTGATTATTTTGAATTTCGCGCAAAACTACTCGAGAGCTATTTGCGCTAGCCATCCATAATTTTGAAGTGGTAGGGTAGAGGGAAGGCTGCTAGTCAACACCACTCACCGCCAGCTCTTGGCATACGCTTTTCCAACGAAGAGTGGGGTTGACCGCCACATTAAAACGCTGCCACTGCTAAAAGAGCAAGCGTGTTCAGGGACGGGATTCGAGCCCGTGTGAATAAAGTGCCCTAATCAACAGGTCAAACCAGCACTTTAAAAACGTGAATTCCTTTCGTTTAGTATATGAGTATGATTAATACGGTACCAATACGGAATAGTTCTCTGCTTATTGCCAGTACTTATTTAACAAGTTACCAATGTGGTAATTTATATTGGTATTATCGCTGCAATGTGTGTACAACATTACAGAGTAGACGTAGTAGGTTTGAGCACTTGAATGTACCGTTGAAAAGAAAGATGACGTTTCACCTTCTACACTGAGCCTCAGTATAGAAGTCAAAACATCTTTCAAGAAGCATTTGCCGTCCATTAAAGTTCTCAAACCAACCATAGAACGGTAATTTAATTATTAACATTTCAGTTCGAAAAATCCCTTACCATTTATTTTCTCCACTCTTTGTATATAAACGTAGGCTGTAACAAAGTTAATAAGACACAGAACAGTGATGGTTAAGGTAACTGAATTCATCCTCGAAATTGTCGTCTCTACTTCAGCTTTAGAGGAGGAAAGGAAATGAAAGATTTTCCAGATCCTCCTTATATTTAGTCACTGAGCACGTGACTAGAGTTCTTATGACGTAACCATTCTCACTGATAACGAACTCGATGTACATAAGTGAGAATACATACAACTTCACTTAACATTGATTAGCCCCCCAGGCACAGCGATATGTCTGCAGACTTACAACGCTATAATCGCTACCCGTGGTGGGCAGAGCACAGATAGCCCGGTGTGTAGCTTTGTGCTTAATTACAAACAAACAAACATTGGCTAACTTTGATTTTTATTTTTACTGTGAAGGGCTTGCTATAGCTGTTCCTTACGTTGTTACACACAGTTAGATCTCAAACCAGTTAAGAAGACAAAGACAAACGTCCATATTTAATTGAACGCAGGAATAAGCATATATTTGAAGAAGGACTAAATAAATATGTTGGAATGTTTAGCTGTCGGGTCAGTGAAAGAGTTTAACATAAATTCAATAACGAAATGAAATCAGCCATTATCTGCCGTTGTTAAGTAAAAGTTCGACAAATGGAATGTATTTACAGTTTTATTACCGTAGGGGGATTTGTAGAAAATCGTGGGGAAATAGGTTTGGTTACAAGTTAAGTGTTATCCATTCTTTTATAGGTTTGGTTACAAGTTATGTGTTATCCCATCATTTATAGGTTTGGTTACAAGTTAAGTGTTATCCATTCTTTTATAGGTTTGGTTACAAGTTATGTGTTATCCCCTCATTTATAGGTTTGGTTACAAGTTATGTGTTATCCCCTCATTTATAGGTTTGGTTACAAGTTATGTGTTATCCATTCTTTTATAGGTTTGGTTACAAGTTATGTGTTATCCCCTCATTTATAGGTTTGGTTACAAGTTAAGTGTTATCCATTCTTTTATAGGTTTGGTTACAAGTTATGTGTTATCCCCTCATTTATAGGTTTGGTTACAAGTTATGTGTTATCCATTCTTTTATAGGTTTGGTTACAAGTTATGTGTTATCCCCTCATTTATAGGTTTGGTTACAAGTTATGTGTTATCCCCTCATTTATAGGTTTGGTTACAAGTTATGTGTTATCCCTTCTTTTATAAGTTTGGTTACAAGTTAAATGTTATCCCCTCATTTATAGGTTTGGTTACGAGTTAAGTGTTATCCCCTCTTTTATAGGTTTGGTTAATATAAAGTTTTCGAAATATGTTTGGTATTATTATACTACATATGGTAAGTGTAATTCAAAAAGTAAGTAATATTTTTGTGGTTTATAATTCTTTGGATATTCTTCTGTCTGGGTTTTTGCTTTTTGTTCACAAAAAAGGAAGATAGTGTCTTTACAAGAACTGTAAGTCAGATAATAAGGGACGTTAAAATTGAGTTAGACCTTTGTAACTGAATATCTCTAATGCTACTGTCTTATGACAAATATAATTGATTATAATTGTGTATCACCAGTTTGAAAAAGGCGTTTACACCAAAACAATTGTTGTTGCGACAAATATCTTATATAAATAATGTTTCGAGCATTACTGGGTTTGTTGTGTCCCAGTCAGCCTGATGAGCTCTGGATTGGGCGAAACGCGTCGTCGGCAATGGATATGGCGAACATAATGTGTTTGGAATACTATTATTATTATACACCCTTGTAAGTTTTGAAAATCCCTGATAGATTAGATAAAGAATGTAGTGTTAAAATAAAATAAGCCTAATACTAATGTCCTATAACAAATATAATTAATTAGTGAGCGAATTTCTTCACATGGCGCGATTAATTGCTACACGTTATGTAATGTTGCTTAATGTAACATTCAAATTCACACTGTTCTTCTGACAAAAAGCTGATAAATAGTTAGCCATAAAGTTTATTTTGTTTTGTATTTAGGTTATTGTTCTCTTAGTGCAGACCTATTCAATGATCTAGTTGCATTGTCCATTGCAGGGAAAATAACCCCGAATTGTTGCGTTGTAAATCCGTAAACTTATCGCTTACCCACAGGGAAACTGTATTTAGATATTTTTTGAAAACTTATTAATGACGTAAATTATTGTTGAAAATCGACCTATCGGGGAGCTTGAAAGACTTTGAATTACCATAAAATAGTTCACTTTCTCGCTTTTTTAAATTTGTTTGGTTGCAATTAAGCACAAAGCTACACAATGGGCTATCTGTGCTCTGCCCACCACGGGTATCGAAACCCGGATTCTAGCGTTGTAAGTCCGCAGACATGCCGCTGTGCCACTGGGGGCGCTTTTTAAAAGAGCAGTTTTAATAAAGATTATTTTCATTTTTAGTTTAGAACTAATCTGATTGCAATTATTCCGTTTAAAATAAATATATTACATTTCTTTTTATAATTATTATGTGAAAAAAAAATCTCCACGAAGACAATTTCCTTCAAAATGAAGCTTTCTATCTCTGTTTTTTTTTTCTTCAAATAATGAAAAATAATAATAACAAACAGAGCTTCACATGATATATTGAGAACCTTATAACGAAGTATGATTGAGGAAAACTAATTACTTAGACAAGATATAAACTAAACCCATAACGAGTATAGTTAATTAGTTTTATATTTTTACGTCCTTACTTAAAAGAT